CACAGTTGTGCGGAAGCTGCAGGAGTTTGAGCTGCCCTACGTGTCTGTCACCAGCCTGCACAACCCCGAGTTCCGGATCATCCTGCGCAAGAGGTGAGCGGCAGGGCCGGAGGGGAGGCGGCTGCTGGAGCTGTGGGGTGGGGTCTGGAGCTCCCAGCTCTGCAGAGGGACCCCTCCCCTCCTGCCGTTGCTGCCCGCGGGGTGCCTTGGCCACCAAGAACACACCTGGGCACCCCTGGCCGTGTCACCGGGGGCCGGGCTGCCCTGCTGGGCTTGGCCCCCGTTTCTGCTTTTCCAGAGACGACCTTTCCTGCCTCTGCCAGCTGCTTGAGAGGGGGAGTGGGCTCTGGCTACTGACGGCTAGCAGGGGAGCTGGGCAGAAAACCAGCCCAGTGCCTTGTTCCAGCATGGGGGGAGGTTCTCCCCATCGCAGTTAGGGGCTGGGGAATAAGTTGACCCATGTGGTTCCCTTCTAGCTACTGGGACTCCTCCTATGACGACGATGTAATGGAGCATCGCGTGGGGTTGAACTTGCTGTATGCGCAGGTGAGGGTTGGCGCAGCCCAGCCGTGTGAGAAGTGGCACCCCGCAGCTATGGCTGGGGGGGGGCTGGGGGGTGCGGGCCCCGGCGGCTCCCCAGCCTCTGCTTCTTGGTAGACGGTGTCGGACATTGAGCATGGATGGATCCTTGTCAACAAGGAACAGCACCGGCAGCTGAAGTCCCTGCAGGAAAAAGTCTCCAAGAAGGAGGTAGGGGAGGGCATGACGCTCTGACTGGAGCAGTCCCAGCACCGGACTGGCACCGCTCCTGTGTGAACGCATGGTGCCGAGTTCGTTGCCCGGGAGGTGTGGTGGGAGGGCGGCCGCCTGCGCTGAACTTCCCTGGCTCTGCCCGCAGTTCATCCGCCTGGCGCAGACCCTGAAGTACTACGGCTATCTCAAGTTTGACCCCTGCGTCACTGACTTCCCTGAGAAGGGATGCCACGTCGTCGTCAGTGCTGGCAACAACGAGCTCAACTTCCAGGTGCGATTGCCGAGCGAGCAGATCAAGGAAGGCAGCTTCAAGGTCACGCGCATGCGGTGCTGGCGGGTCACATCCTCGGTGAGTGCCACTTGCCTGCGGGGCCCTGGGGAGCAGGGAAGGGTCTAGTGGGACCCGGCTGTGCCGGACTGCTCCAGCAGCTCTCCCTGGAAGAGTGCTGGTTGTGTTGCTTGGTTCCAGCCCAGCTGGCCTGGGAAGGGTCTGAGTCATGCTTTGGGGCTGAGGGGGTCATCGGTGTGAGGACATTTCAGGGGGCCACTGCTGCGAGGGGACCTGATGGTGGTGGCAGGCCAGTGGGGGCTCGGCAGGGTGCCCAGCACCCCCTCTCTCAGCACGGGGGCCTGGGAAGCTGGCCGCTTTCCCCCTGGAGGCTCCCAGCCTCAGCATGTGCCCTTGCAGGTGCCGATGAGCAATGGTCCCTCGGGGAGCAGCCCGGGGAAGTCCGAGGTGAAGCTGGAATTGGCTTTCGAGTATCTAATGAGCAAGGACCGGCTGCAGTGGGTCACCATCACCAGTCCACAGGTAGGGCTGCCCGTGTACCAGGCCAGCGGTGGACAAGGACAGGAGTGAGGTGGTGGTCTGGGCTCGGCGTGGTGTGTCAGGAAGGCCGTGGGGGATGTGGAGCCTTCTGACACCTCTCCCTTGCAGGCCATCATGCTGAGCATCTGCCTGCAGTCCATGGTGGATGAGCTGATGGTGAAGAAGTCTGGAGGCAGCATCCGCAAGGTGAGGGTTGGGGCTGGGCATTGTCTCTGGGGCGGGATCCCATCCTGCCCCTGTAGCTCCCTGGGGTCTAGGCTGGGCCCTGCTTGCTCCCCTCAGGGTGCGGCCAGCTGAAGGATCCCCAGGGGCCATCTTAACCTCTGGAGCTGCCCGTGGGGACCCTGCCGCTGAGCTGAGCTC